ACCGGCAGAGAAAACGCACGAGCCATGGGCCAGAGCATCACAGAGCACTCCCGCATTTTACTCGTCCAATCCGCACTCGAAGAGGCCCACTGAAGTATGCTAGCCGGGTTGTCCGCGTCGGACCGTGATCCATCCTCGAGGAGGCAGGCGCACAGCTTCGGGCCAGCCTTGGTAGAGTTCAAGACATCGCGCAGCTCGGTCGCCCCCATCCCGAGGGACTGTCGCTTTGGGGGGCCCCACTGGCCAACAATCTTGCAACGCGGCACTTGGGCCCACCACTCAGCGAAGGGCGTCTCCGCATTGTCGCGCTGCGAGATATCCTGCGCCAGCTGCGTCATGCACAAGTGGCTCCTACGCTGAGGATGGGCAGGGCCATAGGGCGCATCGCAGAATTGGCAATCGGCCCGAAGAGCGCGTTGCCACTCTCAGAGGCCACGGGCACGGGTCCTGGAGGCGCAGCTGCCCCATCAGGCGTCGCTACCCGCGGCGCGCTTGTCGCTTTCGGAGGTGTGCGAAAAGTCGATGGGGCGGTCCTGCGGTGCCCCTAGCATCCGCTCCACCATCTCACGGGCGGCACGTGAGTTCTTAGCCGTCGTCGTTGATAGTTACAGTCGTCCGACTATGCTGGTCCACCGTCGCCTGCAGCGTCGTCGCGTTGGTCTGTAGCTGCTGGATCACGGGGTTCGATTCCAAAGCGCCCGCGGGTATAGCCGATGGACCAGCGCCATGAGCAGCAGGGCTCGATGCAACCAGGTCGCGCAAACGGTCGACCGTGAGCTGCAGCCTGGTGTCCCCCGAAACGTTCGCCTTCAGGACCTCCGCGAGCGCCCCGGCCAACTCCCGAGCTGTCTCGCCCCTTGCGGTGCCATCCGAGCCTGCCGCCGCCGACGCCGCGGGCGAAGGCGCGGCCGCCCCCTGCGCCCGCGGCGGCGCCTGGGCGACCGCGGCGGCGGCCTGCGGCGGCTGCTGATCCCGGGCGGGTGGCGAGCCCATCCGCGCGAGCTCACCCGGCGCCCAGTCCCTCCCCCCCCAACACTTTCGGCGACTCGAGACAGATGGCGCCTGGGCTTTCGTGCGTTTTTTTCCCCGGCTTCCCAAAGATCCCGCAACGCTGTCCATCGCGGAGGTCCTCTGGCCGAGCGAACCCCGTGAATCCATGAATTGGCGCTGCCGCCAAAGCCGCCGTTGGCGCCGCCGCCCCCGCCGGCCCGGCGGCGGTTCCGGAGAGATGTGTAGCGCGGGGCGCAGGGGCCACCAGACTGTTTTCCGCCTTTTGTCCACCTCCGTTGCGCCGCGATCCACGAGCGCATCACGGAGGGGTCGCAGCGGCCTGGGCAACGGGCGGGGATGGACGTCGAGCGCACGCGCGCTGCCCTCCAAGGCTCTGAGAGGAAACGGCCAGGCGTATCGCTATTTGGCAAATCCCAACGGGATGAGACGCCGGTGCAATATTCTGCCGAATCCGTCGGAAATGTTTCTGACAACCCAACCTTAAGCACATCAAACTACCGATAGGAACCACAACCAACCAGTTTCAATCGCATACCTGTAGGTTGCGCCAGCGTCGTAGTCGACCTCGCAAGTCGGCTCTGCTGTTGCAGGTGGTCAGGGGCAAAAGGGCCCAGGAAAGGTACGATGAACTGTCTTGCAAGGGGCTCGGCCTTGCCCGTAAAGGCGCATGCTTCATGTTTGCGTACAACGTGGGTGCTGGTTCAGGCAAGGGCAAGGTAGACGGCGGCAATGAGGTGAGGGACGACAACAGCACGAGCGCCAGGACGAGTAGGTTCCGTATGATCGTGAGCCATGCCTTTGAGGTATGCATTGCCAGACGTTCGACCCCAAGATGATGTCGTCCATGTACCTATCTGCTGCTACAGATCGCCGACGCGTGGGATGGGCTGAACCCGATTGGAACTCCAGGTCCATCGGGGCCGCGTGCATGATGGCCCCACTCAAGGGACCTCCTAGAGGGACACCTTGGACTTGTTGAACGACCAGGCAACACATAACAAAGGGGCACATACCAATGAACCCTTCGAGAGCCCGTCGGATACTTTTGAGGGGACACACCGAACGGTCACAGAGACGTTGGTTCACCCTGCCGCGAAAGAACACATGGGACCGCTGGGCCCGCATGACGGAAACGCAACGTTGCTTGTTTCCGAGATTTCGGTTTCTCGAGCAGGCGATCGAGCGAGGAATGCATTCTGTCCAGCGGGATGGTTTTGCAAGCCTGTCCAGCACCGCCAACAACCAGGCCGGGACAGTGCGTCAGAGAGCCGCATCCACGGCAGCGGCAGTCCGCACCCGTTGGGCGGGCAGCCAGTTGGGAGAATTGCGCAGCAACGTTGGGGATCGCTCCATCGAGGGACTCGAAGGACCGCCCTGGACACACTCGGTTGGCCAGGAAAGCGAGAGCCCGATTGAGAGAGTGATACAGCAAACGAGTCGGCAGACGTACACAGTTGCATATGTTGCCTGAACAGCTGCGCATCGACTT